GCTTAAGCAGAATTTGCACAGATATTTATGTCAATTCTTTTTGGGAAAGAGAATATTTCCATATTGTAACCTGATCAGAGTGGAGCATGAAAGGTTTGTAACAGCCTACACTGAAATTTTGTATGTGTTCAAGCTTTCAGTAGTAACTTTCTTTTCTCTCATTGTGTTTTAATAGCAAATATTGCACTCCATCTACACAGAAATACATTACTCTCTCAGTATTTTGATAATTTGCCTTTGGAAGGAATTGTTTTGTTCATTTATAATGTTTGATTTATTATTTCGTTTCTGGTCAAATTCCCTTTCTGTCACCTGGACATTTAAAGGTAGTTTAGAATGAAAAATACTAGAAATTTACAACAGCTTGTTAACATCTGGAAAAAGAGAAAATGCATTAGATTTTGATAAGACTTGATCATAAATTGATATAAGACACTGTGGGATCATTCCTTTTTTAAAGCTAACCAAAATATTGAATGAATGGAAGTATAGCTATTTTATTGCTATTATAAAAGGGCAAATCTCATAACCTGCTTGCTTTTAATCTGGGAAGAAATATAACGTACTGATTTGTATACAATATTTAAAAAAAACTTCAGAAAGCCAAAAAGCTAAATGAAATAGTTTCATAAAGAATGTAACAGGGAGGTAAATCAGAAATTTAAGCTCTGGAATTTCTGGGCCATGGGTGCTGGAAGGTTGCACCAAGCCTAATTACATCTGATTAGGAACCCACATAAGTGAGATTATGAACCAGAGAAAGATTGAGATCATGATTTAGTGATGATAGCTCACATGGATAGTGCAGTGGTCAATTGTTCTGTGTTTAATCATGAATCTGTCTACTATTGATGCTCACTGCATACCTAGGCATAACCAATGAAGCACATTCAAGGAAAAACAAACAAAAACTGTAGAAAGAGCTGAAAGTTAGAGCAGCAGCATAGGGGCAAACGTTAGAGCTGTGAATAAAATCTGCCATACACAGAGACCCATGCGGAGATGCCATTATTTTCTGAGTTACAGTAAATATACAACAGGAAATATTCCTACTCCTAAGTCAAAAGATTTTTAATATAAATCCCATTCCAGAATGTGACACCATAATTCAAGGAAGTGCTCCAAAACAATGGCAACAAAAAAACTGATACTTCTACTGGTAAAATATTGAACCAAACCTCGATTTCTGATGGAAAATATTGAGGTCAGTAACCAGAAGAATGAAGTGTTTATCTGGTGTTAAGGTCAATATTCCTCTGTCAAACAACACCACTCAATTTTTTTGTATCTTGTGTGCAAAATTACTAGTGTTTCATCTAAATACAACAGGCATTGCTCTTTATAGTAAATCAGTTACATGTGAAAGTCTTTGTTACAGTTTGAAGGTCATGATATGGTGCTACATTAATACAGCTATATACTTTTGTGGAGGAAGCAGATGTTAAATAAACATGTATTTTGGAGATCAGACTTGATAGAGGAAACATGGGCAATTTTAACTGGTTGGGTGGGATTTCATGAGATTAGGTGGTACACTGGTTTTACACACTATTCAGTACTATCGCTGGACAATAAAATCCGGCAGAGTAAAACCAACATTGTATCCAATTCCACCAGTTTACCAACTGACAGAATTATTTAAAATTTTCTCATTGGTGTAACACAAAAATGTTTGTGTAACATGGAAAGATTTCATGGACTTGAGAACATGGATGCATTACGTAATAGATGAACATATGGTTGACATACATCTTCTAATGCAAGCATTGGATTGGGCAAGCAGAGTGTGTTGAAGGGGTGATGGGGTGTCCAGCAGATGCTGGCTGAAAGATAGTTATCAGAAAACAGAGAGGATTGGGGAATAGAAAAATTTGTGTATTCAACTAATTTGTAGACTATCAATGGAGATACGTGATGTGAATTGGAAGGTGTAAAATGAAAGGTAAGGACAAGAATAAACATGTCATTGTTTAGAGGGTAGGGACAAACTGTTAAATTCAGTCAGTCCTTAGCAAGTCTTACTGATTCCTCCCCACATTCCCCCCATCCCATGCCCTCTCTCCCCCACCAACTTGACTGGGTGGCAGGGTCCTATGATGGCATCTTGCTGACCTGTTGCTTGGTCAACACCGAAGCCGCATTCAAATGAGATCAGGAGCCCAGCCCCTGGTAGCCCCCAACCTCACTACTGCCACCATTAGCAGTGATCACTGCTGAAATTGCAGCACAAGAAAGAGGATCCCTCAAAGCTAAGGTGCCCTTGAAGACATGACAGAGCCATGAGGGCAAGCCCAGGCAATCAGAAGCAGCATTGGTTATTGCAGTGGTAAGGGGTTTCTTTCAGGATAGGAACCGTTGCTTCCATGACCCATGGAACATCCATCAAGAAGTCTGTGAACACTCCATCCCACAGGGTTTTGCCAGTCAGTGACAGATCCTCTTGATACAAATAAATTCCCCCACCGGAGGGAGGTGTCTTTAGTTGGACACTGAAGTAGCTTACTTGGCCAGCAAATGTGTTACTGACAATGTGCCATGGCGGTGGAAAAACACAGCCTCCTTATTTGACACCTTCCTCCTGTGCTCCCACCACCTCTCCCACTGTATTGCCAGCTCTCATGCCCCAAGCATATCTCCAAAGACCTGAGAAGATTCAAAGTTATGGCTGCCTTTCTTGATCATTTCTTAGGGAAATTCCTAGCAGAGGTAAAGCAGAAAATATTTCGGAAGGGCTAACGTAGGATGAGGAATTGTTATGAAGATCAAGCAAACTGAAAGCAAGAAATTAAGCCATTGCAAGAAAAGGTTGTGAACAAACATATGGACACAATTGTGAAAATCATTGCTTTTTGCATAAAGATTCATGTTTAAACAGTGTTTAACTTATTAGTCTTGGACATTTCCACAGATGAACCCATTAAGTCACCTGACTTCCCCTTTGTAATTGGGAGATCACTAAACAAAACCGCAGGTTAACAATTTTTAAAAAAAAATTTACAACTGCCATTTGAGATTATGGGAATTTGCGTATCATTTATTACACAATAGAATGAAATGATTTGGAAACTGAATATTATATGGGGTGAAATTGGTTGCGCAAAATGGAAAATAGTGAACCGTAGACTGCTTTACATTCTGCCCAATGTTTCCATTCACCAGTGTTGTGTTGTTGCCGAAAACAATCTCCCCTTCAGTGTTTCTATAAATTTTAATTTAATTGCTACAGTATTGTGCAAGGGAAGTAACTCCAATTACTTTTTTTTAAACAAAAGGAGGTAAAATGATTTCCTTGAGCCCTTTGGAAGGAACATATCACAGAGTGGATAGCACTATTGCATTCCCAAGGTACGCAACAAACTGTCAGATCTAGATAACCAAAGCAATTCAGCTCAAAGGATTAAAGGGAAGAGCCTCAATTAGGTTCACTACGATTTCTTCAGGTCTTGATTCTAATCCTTTTAATTCAGGATTACTGCCAGTAAGTAGCTTCCACCCCCTTTACAATTTGATTCTCAAGAGTTATTGTTTTTGAATCCAATGCTAAGACTTAAATATGTTTCTTTCATTTAGGAAGACTATATCCTTGATTTTATAGGACAGATCCATGAGGGAAAAATGATTCTCTTTTATATTTTTGCAGAAAGTTCAGGCTATTGTTGCTCACTGCAATAAAAGGGATGGCAGGCTTCAGCTGCTGTCCTGTTTGCCTTGGTGCATTAAAAATTAGCTTGTACTGTTTGAACATTGCATGTGTAAAGAGAGTAGATAGATTATTTGGCAAAAGCTGGACATGGCAAAAATTTATATTTGATTCATGATGGATTTCAAGTGCTGCCTAAGCTGGACAGCAAGAAAAGGTTCCATCATTTTAAATGCTTTTTGACATAACCTGTGCTTTTTTTTAAACTAATTTAATAGAGCAGAACACATTGCGGAGTATATCTTTGATAAGAAATGTGAAGTATACCCACAATTCCCCATGATGAAAACTCCCTCAGAGACTGATTAGATCTTGTCTGTCATAAAACAGAGGGATAATCACATTGGTTCAACTTGTTCATGTTTTGCAGTTTTACTAGGAAAGAGCAGGTCATCTTTAGATGTATAATTGGCACTAGATTTCTAGAAAACTATATCAATGGATACTTAGACAGATTTAATTTATCACTTTCGTTGTTGTATTGTCAAATTAAATTTAGTAAATCTACTTGAGCAATATTAATACTGAACAATCTGTCAACTCAAGAGATATAATTAGTGTTGAATATGCCAAATATATTCGAGTTGCTATGTATATCTTCATTACAGGAACAGTTCTTACTGCAACACCAAACAAACACAAAAAAAAATCAATAAATCCTGCATGATGCTTCCCACTTAGCAAGGGCTCAGAGTAGAACCTTAAATGAATATGTGTACTTAATTTTTCAAAAATGCAAAATAAATTACTGTTTAGCATAGCTCTGCACTAATTCATTAACAATTCATAAATTTGTCTTTTCTCAGTGGGGGCTGTGTCATTAGACTCATTCGTGATGGCATTATGTAAGTTGACGTCCACGCACCTCAAAAACAAAAAAACGGATTTCATGATGTAAGGCAAAGAGTTCTGTTTACGTTATGTTCCAAATGCAACTGTAACTGTAATTAGAAGGAAAGGAAAATTCAGAGGAAAGAAGAAAAAAATCTCTGGATTATCTTAATAGGTCAATTAATACCCCCATGAAATTGAGTCATCTTTTGTTTGTGAAACAGCACAGCAAACAACATGTGTGAAAAGAGTTACTAACTTGAACCAATTTTATTCTTTTTTGTTTTGAAGCTAATTTGCAGAATAATATCAGTTTAAAAAGTGGCAAGCATTGAGCTGTCAAATTCCACCATTGCATCTGAATAACATTCGACATAGAAATTTATTATATTCCTCCCATTACCAATATGGACAGACTTCTGATCCCTACTGATATGTTTGGGAGAACTGCACAAAGACAAAGCCCTTTTCATTCAGTCTGCCAACTGGCACCAGTTTTTCATTGCTTGATATGTCGTTGGGATCCTTAAGGATTACTGACGGTGGCAACTAGGAAGCAGCAGAAAGGTACTCCTCTTGCTCCGTTCAAAATTTTGTTGAAAGAAGTGTCTGCAAATGATGGAAAAATATGTTATACTCAGGCAGGAGACTGTAAGCCAGGAATACATCAAAAGACAGAAATGCAGACAGACGGCTTGTCTCAGTGGAGATGCGACATGTGTCAATGTCTCTGTTAATGCAGATCGTTGACAGTGTCATATGTACAACTTGGTTGTCAGAATGAACTGTTCCAAGTATTCACATTAGCTTAATGTCAACTGGTGGAAGTGGAACAAGTAAATTGGCTGTAATAATTTTGATATTATGAATCTGAGCTGAAAGAATTTCAAACATAAAGTGACCTGAACCAAACAAATCTTTCCTAATTGTGATCGTTTCCAGTTAGCATGATGCATTAACCAATTCTATAACAGAAATATTTCAGCCTATTTATTCACCAAGAAAAAAATAAATGCATGTGCAAAAGAGAGAAAATAGTAGCTTGTACAATATGTTTGCTGTCTTGAGCAATGCTTCATCTCATGAAAAGTTGACAGATAGAAATGTAAACATCTGGAATTTTGATAAAGGGCATAGTGATTTTTTTTCTAAATTTGGGGGCAGATGTATTAGATATTAGCTAACACACCAACCCCACCAGCTAGATAACCCACCGTACTGCACACTGATCAGCTTGTTAAGAGTTGAAAGGCCAATGAGGAATATCTTGCCCTATTACAGATCTCGACACTGGTAACCTGGGTCACCAAAAACTGAGTTTTTGGTCAGCAGAGGTCAGCAGCTCTGAGTCCTAAACTTTGGCATTTGAGGCCTCCACCTCAGGGGATCCAGTGGCATGAAGATAAATTATTGTTTCATCTTCTCACGAGGTGGTGGTCCTGGGGAGAGGGTGTTGGGGAGGGAGGTCAGAATCTACCCTCTTGTGTCTCACCTGTATCTCCAGTTACCACCACACTGGGGCAATGGAGGCCCTCCACCTTAACCTAGCAGTCAGATATCTATGGTTTCCCAGTCAAGAAACTAGGCACTTTTCCTGCTTGCTGGGAAGTAGGTGATCAGGGAGATAGGGAGTTAAAGCCCTGAAGTGGTCATTAATCAACTACTTAAGGGGCTTAATTGCTGGTGATTTGCAAAAGTCATACGTTAACCTTCTCATCCAGCACTTAATTGCTGAAGTGGTGAGAAGGAGACCAACCTTCCTCCAGGTTCAATTCATCCCATTATTTTCCTTTCTCTCTTACTACTGCGAAGGGGAAATTGTGCACAATGTATTCCTGCACAAAGGTTCTATCCTAACATTTAATGTTTCTTTTGGTCATTTAAACATTATAAAATAAAATCAGTAAGCTCCATTTGTACCTAAGAATTGCAGACAATTCTGCAGGAGCCTCACTTGTATGTTTAAACAACACGCGTCATCATGATTGGCTGTTTGCAAGCATGTCTGAAAATTTTATCCAGCGGACCTTGGACATCAGTGGGGGCTACCAGATTCCCTGTCCTCATTCAGCAGGTTAAAAAATATCAGTTATCTCATTGAAGCACATTTCCAATATCCCTTTGGTTTACAAAATCAAGTTGCCTGCAAAACTTTTTCTTTCCGGTGTTTCATTTTTCTACCTAGTGGGTGGATGTTCGGCCAAGTGTGCATGAATCCATTGAGTTTCTTTGCCACCTTCTGTGAAGTAAATATCCCTCCTCCCTGTTTCTGTAGTCTTAAAGTTTTTTTTAAGTTGAGTAGCTTTTCAAGTTTCACACACAATCATCTGACTTTTATAATAGCTTCAAATTCAGCAGGACAGTGCTGCTCATCCTGTATACCCCCGTGAGAGAGAAAACAAAACTTATTTTCTATCAACAGCGATTGATTAAAACTGGACAATTACTCACAAAAAGCTACAAGCAGAAGAAATTTTAATGTCATGTGTGGCTGCATTAATGATTTCTGAGGATATGGTGAAGAGACCATCCCAATAGGAATGGGTACAAAATGGAAGAACGTCTAATTTCTCAACTGTACTCCAAAGGCAGTTATATTCAGAAAAATACACATACAAATTAAGTTTAAAAGTACCTTGGCACATTTCCAACATTATATAGTACATTCAGAGAAGGACAACAGATATAAGTGTTAAATGATTCATTTATTCTGGAAGGAAGAACAAGGACAGACAATATAAATTAAAGGGTACAATTCCAATGGTGATGCAGGAGATGAGGGACTGGATATTTATTGACTATGATCTGACAGGTTGAGAGAGCAGTTAATAAGGCACACAACATTCTAACTTTACAACCATAAGAGCAAAGACGATAAATACAAGGAGGTAAAGTTAAATGTGCATAGAAAACTGGTTAAGCCTCAAGAGGAGTAATGTATCTGATTGTGGCTGACACAGTTTAAGAAAGATATGAAGGCATTAGGGAACTTGCAGAAAAGATAATTGGGAATAGTCCTAGGCATGAGGGTTTGTAATTATGTAGCTGGATTGGAGAAATTGAGAAGTTCACCTTGGAAAAGGGACAGCTGAAAGGAGATTTGATGGAGGCTATCTACTGACAAGATTGAGATAGAGTGAATATGTAAATAGTGTTTCCATTCGCGGAAGGATCAAGAACAAGAAAGCACAGATTCAATGTGATTGGCATAAGAAACAAGGGTAAGAGAAGGCAAACTTTTTCACGCAGTGATTGGCAGGGATCTGAAAGTGGCACTGCTTGAGAACATGGTGAGTGCAGCTTCAGTTGAGAATTGAAGAGGAACTTGGATCGTTACATGAAAAGGAACAATGTGCAGAGCTATGGGGAAAAAGCAGGGAGAACTGTTGCAGATATGATGGGCAGAATGTTCTTCTGTACTGTCACAGTTCTGTGATATAAAAGTGTTACTGTCACTGTATTACGTTACATAGGCTGGGGCAACAATTTGTCCTGATACAATTCATAAAATGTCTAAGCTGGGCATTGAATGGGCATTAGAGCATGGTAAAGAGAAACGTTAGCCAACAGAAAACTGGAGTATGTCACAAGGACCAGAAGATGCAGTAAGTTCAGGTCAAGAGGGAAGAAGTATTGAAGGAGCTGAAAACTATGGGAAGGGACTGCAAGAGAGAACAAAGAATGTAAATCTGCTTCCATGTTTGAGTATCGCAGAAATAAAGCTGGTTGTAGATAGCCTTGGTGTTTGTAGGAATAAGAGTATTTAATGGCACCAGGACCTGTTAACAGGATTAATGTGCTATATTAGGAGTGTTGGAAGGATAATTTATGCTCTGGATCTGTCAGAAGCACGCAGGTAGTGTTTGGAGCAAATGCAGTCGATGTTTTCAAACACTTAAATTAATATGAATAAATACTCCTGCCATTCAAATGATAGACCCCTTCCCTAAAAGTCCTAAACTCTGCCATTAAGACATTGCTCAGAGCTTTGTATTTTAATGGAAAAGTCCTAAAATAGATTGAATCTGCTCTTTGAAGTTGCAAGTGATCATGAATCAAATGAAACAAAATTGAATATAATAAAATAATGGAAGTACAGAGGAGAAAATGAAAGATCAGAATTTGAAAAAAAAACATGAAGTTGCTAAGTTGTTGGATGCATATTCCTTTCTGTCATGAATTTAGTCACAAACTTATTCCTTTGTACTTAGAGAAAATAATTTGATGTAATTTTGACCAGAGATGGTACATGTGTATTTGTTTTTACATTAATATTGTAGAGCAGCATTGTGCTAACTAACCCATTCTCAACCCTAAGTAATATTTAAATTATTATTGTATACCTGCAGGGTGCACGCCTTTCCAGGTCTGATCACATTGTTTTGAAACTGGTGAGAAAAAAAACATTATTTTGGTGGGATGCTGTGACTTGTGAAAACACTTTTCTGACTAAGTCTTCCCTTAGTCATCAATGTATGACTTCAGTGCAACATATGAAATTTTAGCTGAATTTATTCTGGTAACAGCTTTCCACCATCACAAGAAAGAGAAGGAAAAAAGGGCCCCATGTGTTATGTGAAAGGATATTTTACAATACACTTATTAATGCAAACTTGCATCTTTTCATTCAAGTAAAGGCTATATTTACACTGCATTACCCATTTATTTGCTATGTTAACAAGGATTTAAAAACTTATTGGAGCATTTGTATAAGGATTCTGCAACATCTTGCTATGGCTGCAGTGCCATCTGCCAGTGATGAGAAAATAACAGTCAGTAGGACCTTGTTTTCCCAGACCTTGATGTTATATGTTTTAACTTACAAAGCCTATAAGTTCTTTTAAATCATTTCATTTCAAACACATTCACTTTCTGTCGGATACAGTGACAAAATGGAACAATCCAACAACATGGAAAAACATGACCAAAACTGCAATGATTTATCCAGGAATTTTTGTTGCATTGAAATCAAAACTGGCAGACCTAAACTCGGAACTATTTAGAAATGTGTAGAAACTGACAGTTAATCTTGAAAGGCTTAGCTTTGAGAATTTCTGCATGAAGCAATTACAACTTGGGAATCACACTGTCTACCATTATTAATTGACAGACAACTGCCATTTATTAGTAATACTTTTAAATCTGGGTCAGAAGGTTGCAGGTTCAAATCCCATTTAATGCCTCTAGTTCATTCGTCATTCAATAATGCTGTAGCTGATCAGTGATATAAATCTAAATAGTGCTCTCGTGCCCCTGTTCTTCAATGCTTTCTGCTACCAAGATTCCAAAAATATCAAAATTAAAATTAAAAATTGACTGAGATAACTATTGTTTTCAGAAGAGAGTTCCAAACTTCAACCATATCTTGCTCATTGAATTACTTTCTTTCTTCACTGCTAGTATATATTTAAAGTTTTGCTTAAACTTGGCGCAGAGGTGGTAGGAGATAAGATTTTTTTTGGATGAATGTAAAATAATGTGGTTGTTGGAATGCTGGAGAAACTCAGCGACTCTGGCAGCATCTGTGGAGAAAGAGACTGAATTAGTAATTCTTATCAATGAATTTGAGGACTTGTTAAATGTTATTGCTTGAAGAAAAATATCCTTGC